AAAGAGGACATCGACATGTTTTTTGCTTCATAGCCAAGTGATTTATTTAATCAGGTCATTAACAACCTGATTGTAAGATAGAAAAGCATCATGAATAACAATGGAAACTATTTCATTTAGTAAATGTTTCGTTTTGATATATCAGTTTTTCGGGGTTTTTTCAGCTAAAAAAAGTGACATTAATTTCATGGCGATCCAATATATATATATATAAATGTTTTAAACCTATAAGCTCAGCTTTGCCAACGTTTTCTTTCAAAAACATATCTTAACTAATATAGAAACCAGATTTGTTAAAAGGAATACGTAAAGTTGCCTAATAGATGCTACGAATGTTACGGTTTATTTCATGTACGTAGCACTTCAGGCATATATAGACAACCTATAGCAGAGAGTACGGTACAATATTTTACTTTACAAGCCATCTTTTGCATAACAAGGACTTTATTGTTATATCTGGTTGCAGCCGCAGACAATGGCAAAAGCTTATGAATTTCATTTAGAGAGTATTAACATAATCTTGTTATTCATGCTTCAAAAAAAGTCTTAGAATTAGATAAGCTGGCTTTATGTTCTGAATATTACAGTGAAAGCTTTGTCAAATTATTGGAATCATTTATGTGGTTAATATTAAATGAAAGATTTAGATTCATTTTTATCTTTGGTATAAAAATATGACTAGATAAAACAGGTTGAAAACCAATAGAATACATAAGAATAATGTGTTGGAAAAAAGTGGTAAACTAAAGGGTAATGAAGTTGCACGTAGTTTACTTTCTTTTTGTTTTAAACAAGTTCATTGTTTTGTCAACCACTATCCTTCAGATTAATTGAGGATCTTACATTTAATTTATTTAAGTGGTACCTTTACACATTGGTACTTATATATTTGGTATATGAAGAAAGTAAAATAGGTTAGTAGTTAAGGAGACATTCCAGCAAAGGAAGTACACAAACTTGATCTTGACCCAATTTCGACAAGTTCATATAATGTGTCCAGGGCATTGACTCGTCATTAACACCAAGGCGCGTGTTGATAGACGATATTATAGGATTAATGCGGAGGGCATGTTGCTATG